TGAGTGCATCCTTAGAACACTGATTTTCTAGCATGTGCCCACTTGTGTGTTTTCTAGAAGCCATTTGTTTCTTCCCCAAAGCATCCCCTTCCCCTAACTGAAAGCTAAACTTGCTTCCGAAGAGGCTTAGGAAGCTTTGTGTCAGCAGGGATCACCTATTCAGGAACGGCTACCTCCATCAGAGGAGGATGAGTCGCTTGCTGCCTCCCAGCCTCCCAGCATTTTGTGATTGGCCCCGGCGCTAGATGGGAGCCATTTTGCACTGGGTTTTGCACTAGATGGGAGCCATTTTGTTGTGGTACCTATGCCCTGTCCACAGAAATTCCACATGTGTTCAAATCTTAGAAGCCTAGTTTTTTGGTAGCCATTTTCTTTGCGTAAGTAACTTGTAAACCACTTTTCGCGAAGCATTAAATGGAGCTTAGGGTAACCGAAAAATAGCTGAGGACAATAGCTGAGAGCCGTTAATGATTCAGTCAAGCGAGGAATCCCCTGTTTGCAAAGTAGTACTCTGAAATGCTGTGTCCTCTGTTTTTACTTTCAGCATTTGGCCACAGTACGTGAAAGACCGAATCCATTCCACCTACATGTATTTTGCAGGAAGCGTTGGCTTGACGGCAGTGTCTGCTGTAATGGTCAGCAGGGCTCCTGCCCTCATGAGTCTAATGATGAGGGGCTCTTGGCTGGTAAGACCCATCTTACGAGACTCCTGTCTTCAAATTTGTCAGAATATCTCTAGATAAGTCTTCAGCCTCTCCTTGATTCGCAATCTGCCGTGGTTCCCTTAATGATGAGAGAGGCAGTGGGTTGGATCCGATCAGCTTCATTGGGGGGTGGGGGGAGTCCCTCTGGCCACCAAAAAAGCTATGCTGGAGATCGTGGGCACTGTTCCCTCTAAGCTGAGTTAGTGTGAGCTAGCTCAGGTGTTTATCCTCTGGCTCACACATTTTTGTCTTCGCTCAAGAAGGATGGCGTCAGAGCAAACTGATTTATGCAGTAGCCAAATCGCTCGCTCACAGCTTTAATGCCAGGAGCTCACAAAGTGGAATTTTTGATCACAAGACGCCACATCTTAGAGGGAGCATTGATCATGTGACCCGACTAGACAAAAAGCCATGTGGGGTGGGGGCTGTAATAAGGAGGGGAATTTGATGAGCTGGAGCTTTTATTTATTTTTATTTATTTTAAACCTGAATGGCCTGGCTTCTCTCAAGAAACCCTGCAACAGTCGCATAGTTATGTCCTGTAGCCTCATCTACCTCTGCTTGTTAATTGAAGAATGAAGTGTCTCGCTTCTTCCAGTACATTTTTTTTTTGCATGCCTTTGGCAGCTTTTCTATGAGATATTACAGTCCAACATACCTCTGAGCCACCGTGGTACCATGTTGAGAACCCCTATTTGAAGCTGTTTATAGGGTGCCGTTTAAACGTTAGAAGAAGCCTCAGATACAGGGAGATACAGAATCTGCCCCCTACAGATTCTCTTTGCTCTCAATAGTACATTCCTCTGCTAAATCTTTGGTCTTGTTTATGCAGAAATAAATAATTGATAGAAATTATTTGAATGGGTGAATCAGGGTTTATGCCAAAAGAGCTAGAAGGAGGTAAAAGTTCAAAGCTCCGTTTGGTGTAGTGGTTAAGTGTGCGGACTCTACTCTGGGAGAACCGGGTTTGATTCCCCGCTCCTTCACTTGCACCTGCTGGATGACCTTGGGCAAGCCGTAGTTCTGACAGAGCTGTTCTTGAAAAAAGAGCAGTTTCTGTCAGAGATCTCTCAGCCCCACCCACCTCACAGGGTGTCTGTTGTGGGGAGGGGAAGGGAAAGGAGTTTGTAAGCCGCTCTGAGACTCCTTTGGGTAGTGAAGGGCGGGGTATAAATCCAATCTCATCATCATCATCAAAGCAAAATTACAACTATTCCCCCTCTTGAGTGTTTTTCATACAGCTTCCCTCCAGCTAAATTGCAAGCTGAAGGCTGCGTCTGTCTTCACACGGAGGGCAAAAATGAGAAAATAGCTTACTCTGTCTTCTAAAACTTTCCAGTAATTGTCCTTGTACCAGAAATATTGCTGAAGATTTATTTATTTATTATTACTTTACATTTATATCCCGCCTTGCAGTAAGCACAGAATTTACTTACAGATCTGCTGTGTACACTAGAGGGAGCTATTGGTAACCCCTGATGAAATGGTGCCTTTATGTAGAACTACACTGGAGGATAACAAATTATGAGAAGTTCAGCCGCAAGATATGCTGCCACTTCTGTTACTTGTCAGATGGGAGTTTCGAAGGTCATGTCAGAGTTCCAGAATAACTTGCCCTGCTCCATAAGAATTACCCCATTGGATCTAAACAATAGAATAGTTTTCAGGTTGGGTAGTTCTCTTTCTATCCACTGACCAATTTCCTCCTGATTCAGCCTGTAAAACTGTCTGGCAACCCGTGCATGAAAAGCCTGTAAAGTTACATCCCATTAGGCTCTTCCCCGGCACACAATCTTCCAGTAAAGATCATCTTGCGTTCACAAGATTCTGAACTGGTTCCGTCTGCCACGTGTATGGTCCTTGGGGCTTGAATTTTTTAAATTAAAACTTCCACCGCTTCTAGGTGATGGGAACTAATTAGCTGAGGGAAGAGAGAGGCTTCCCTTGCTGGCGATTTTTAAGTAGAGGCTGAGTATTTATCTGCTGAGCGTGCTCTAGCTTTTGATTTCCTGCGTTGAGTAGGGGGAGGGGCGACGAGAGCCCTTCCATCCAGGGCTCCGCTTTGACCTAAGAGCAAGCCGCTGCATCTCGAAACAAGAGCCTGAACTATTTCACGTATTCTTTTCAGCCCCTTCAGTCACCCTGTGGCCAAGTGGGAAATTGAGGAAGCACAGAAGTAGATAGCTCAGGCTAGCCTGATCTTGTCAGATCTCGGAAACTAAGCAGGGTCAGTCATGGTCAGTATCTGGATGGGAGACCACCAAGTTCAGAGTCATTATGCAGAGGCGGGGCAGTGGCAGACCACCTCTGAGCATCTCCTGCCTCGAAAATCCTACCGGGTCCCCATAAATCAGCTGCAACTTGATAGCATAAAAGAAAAATGGAGGGTTGTGCAGGTCGGAGGTTATAAACATCTCTGGGCAAGGAATCAGGGAGACTGCTTTGGGTATTAACTGTTTCTTCTCATTAGCGTGCCACCTCTTAAGGTTGCAAAGCCTGTACCTGCTTATCTGGGAATAAGTTCTGTTGAATTTGGGTCTGAATAAAGCTGCGTAAGCAGGGCTATTTGGGGGCAGGAACGCACAGGAACGGAGTTCCGGCTGGCTCCCAAGTTGGCCACACCCAGCAGGAACTCATTAGCATAATAGGCCACACCCAACAGCAGAAACTCATTAGGACTGGCTACATAAGGGGTGTGTGGCCTAACATGCAAAGGAGTTCCTGCTACAAAAAAAGACCCTGGCTTTTGACAACAGACAAGGTAAACAGAATAACAAGCAAAAGGTGGGTGTGGCTGGATGACCACACTTCTGGTAACATGGGGGTGTGGCCTAATGTGCTAATGAGCTGTGCTGTCAGGGGTGTGGCCCTATATGCTAATGAGTTCATGCTGTTGGGTGTGGCCTATTATGCTAATGAGTTTCTGCTGGGCTTTTTCTGCAAAAAGAGCCCTGTGCGTAAGGTTGTGCCAGATCTGGCTTACACCATTTGCTAGTCATCAGTGGCAGCGTCAAGCCCATTTTGGGCTCAGGTTCTTCCTGCATTAGGGTTTCTGCAAAGAAACTTGCCCAAAGGGAACACTTTATGATCTTGGGTGTAACTTTTGTAATCATGATGCATGTTTAAAGCATCTGGCATCCATTTATTAAATTATAAGCTCATGTTACTTTACTGATATTAATGCTGCCTCAGTGACAGTGATGTATTTGTATAACCTTTGAGAAGAATCAGGTTTTTTTCAATCAAAAGTGCAATGTGTGAATGACCAGAGAGCTGTTCTGGAAATGCCTGCTTCCTACAGGTGTGAGAAACTGAACTGTGTGCAGCCCCATGCTTTGTTTACCTTCAGTCACAAAGTCTGCGACCATGGAAAGTATGGAAGGGCCCCAAATGAATATCATAAGTGACCCTTGGCTAACCAGCAGTGCAACCCTAAGTGAAGTTATACCCTTCAAAAACCCATTGATTGTAACTGCAAGGCTGTAACTCTGCTTAGGACTTTATGGTAAAAGCACCTAACAGAGACCGACAGATCGAATAATGATTTGCTTGTAGTAAAAGTAATTCTGTCTCATGCAGGCGATCGGCGCGACCTTTGCAGCAATGATTGGGGCCGGGATGTTGGTTAGATCAATAGATTACGAGCAGAGCCCTGTCCCGAAGCACCTTGCTTGGATGCTGCATGCAGGTACTTGTGTTTTTTTTTTCCACATGACAGTTTTTATTTTACCAAAATAAATTGACATTGGCTGTCACTTAGAAGGCAGTTTGGGCAGCTCACTGCAGCGTATGTTCTGAATCGCTGAAGAATGCCGGCTTTCTATTTAAAACCTGCTGTGGTAGATAAATTTTAAAAATACCCATGGCATTTGGGATCAGTCAAATGTGAAATCACTGAACTTCGAGTCAGCGTGTTTGTAGGAGCAGTAGTTGGCTCATCTAGGAGACAAAGTGGGGCAAGGTGATCTGCCCTCCCTCCCTCTCTGGTACCAGAGAACCAGCGGCACTAATGCAGGGGCGTCGAACTCATTTGTTACGAGGGCCGGATCTGACATAAATACCTTGTCGGGCCGAGCCATGCGTGTCATAAAATGTTGTGCCAGATAGTGGAGATATAAACTTTATAAAGGACACAAACACAAAGGGGGTCGGTTTTTTTTACTTAAAATAAACACATGCTTAAAACGTTAGCTCTGTAAGCTGCAAACCTACTTTTGATTGATTGACATTCACCACAGAAATCTCATGCTCAGAGTTCTAGGATCCAGGTTAAAACATGAAACGGCTGAGTGATTAAGAGAATCTGGCAAAGCAAGCTATGATGCAGCAGCAGAACTGGAAACAGAAGATGGCCAGTTCCACTGCGGGCCTGATGGAAGCCCTCCGGGGGCCTGATCCGGCCCCCAGGCCGCATGTTTGACACCCCTGCACTAATGCCTATTACCTCTCTGCTACCTTAGGCCTCTCTAAAATCAGCTGGGCAAGCTGTGCGCTTCCTATACCAGTGAGGTTCCTGAACTCCTTCAGTAGTGGCCAAACACTTGTAAGTGGAAGTAATCTCATGAGGTTTTAGGAAGCTGTATTGGGCAGGCTTGGGGGCAGCGATACATTAGTGCTTCTACCTGAGATGTGGGGCACCCTCAGACAGCAGAATACTTTGAGGTACCGCTGGTCAATGCGTATGAACGACTCTGAGCACTTGAAGAAACCACTAAATAAGTCATGTAAGGGCTGGGGGGGGGGGGGTTAAGAACCATTTTCATGGCCTCCACCTCTCTTTCTTCACATAGGTGTTATGGGTGCAGTGGTGGCTCCTCTGACTCTTCTTGGTGGCCCCCTGCTCATCCGAGCCGCCTGGTACACAGCCGGAATCGTGGGCGGTCTCTCAACGGTAGCCATGTGTGCCCCAAGCGAGAAGTTTCTGAGCATGGGAGCACCATTGGGAGTAGGCTTTGGCCTTGTACTTGCCTCTTCTCTCGGTAAGTGGAATCACGTTGTCTTAGAACAGGGTTCCCCAACATGGCGCCCACCAGCACCTTTCCCGGAATCCGCCAGTCAGTTTTAGAAAGTGAGTGGGGCTGGGGGAGCTCCTGGGCTTTGATCCAGTAGGTCTTCTGATTGGCCATTGGAGATCTGATTGGCGGTGCAGATTTTTTTTTTTTTTTAAGTTGCTTCAGCAGCAGCTGGCACAACAGCACAAGAATATTCACTGTATGATTAAGGTAAGCTGTGTATGTGCAAAAATTTTAAAGGCATCCTGTTAAACAGAGCTTCTGCCTGAAATGTGAAAGAGTTATTATTAGACTTTTCTTTTTAACTTTTATTTTATTTTTTCATTGAACATCACATCTTCACAGATTACATACATTTTTAGAGTCTTTCAGTTCTCGATCTTATTGATCCAGTTATAAACCCTTTTCCATCTATTACTTTGTACCATATTGTTTTTCCCTTGTAGTTTTAAACTCAAATCATCCATTTGAACAAGTTCTAGTAACTTTATGATTAGGTCTAATTTAGAGGGTAATTTTATTAGACATTTTGTGGTTGGCTCCACCAACAGCAGTTTTGTGGTTGTGCCCACCACCTGTGTCAGAATTCCAAAAGTGTCCACAGGTTTAAGAGTTGGGGACCCCTGTTTTAGAATTTAATAGCAGCGCTTAGAAACTCCCTTGATTTCCATCTTTAATATATTTAGACTGTACTGATAGTTAAAGGAATAGAAATGCCCTCTGCTAGGTTCTGCTGACATTCTGCCTCTTCCTGTTAGGAACATTTAGGTTGTAATTATGTAGCTCTGCCTCTTCTTTCTGGTGAAGGCAGAAAATATCTGACACTTTATTTATTTATTGAATTAATTTATACCCCACCCTCCCCGCAAGCGGGCTCAGGGCAGCTTACATATTTGGTCTGTAAATGACCATTCATTTACACCAAAACAGTTTACAATTCAATTACAATGAAACAAGAGTCTCATAAAGTGCTAGTGCTGAAACATTCGGTACATAAGATGGCATGCTGAAAATACCATACCGCCAGACAGTTTGCCACTCACTGGTCTTCCTGAGCGCAGTGATAGAGGCCAGATGTTGAAATTACAGGCTGGCTCGTTGATAGTAGTTGGTAGTAGTTTAAGATAGTGGCTGAAACAACCTGTTGCGTAGAGTGTCTCCCACACATCCATGGTATTGAGGCTTGCTGTTGTGTATATATAGTATTTGTTGTTGGTTCCCCTTCAGTTGGTACAGAATGCTGCAGTCAAGTTGTTGGCGAGTGGGTCATAGGGACCATATCACTCGTCTTGGCTTATCTACACGGGCTCTCAATTTGTTTCTGGGCACAGTTCAAGGTCTTGACCTTCGGAAGCCCTCTATGATTTGGGACCACCATAGCTGAAAGACCATCTTCTTTATGGCACCAAAGCTCAGGAACTCTCCCCCAGGGAGGTTTGCCTTTCCATATCTATTGCCATCTTCCACCAGCGGGTGAAGACCATCTGGCTTCATTTGGCATCCCTTCAATGAATCTCAGTTCCTAACCAATGTTTTAATTGCTGGTTTTATGTTTGTGTACATTATAGCTAGGTTTTCAATTATGTGAATTGGTGTGTGTGTGTGTGATTTTTTAATGGTTTTAAATATATACTTTTATTTTGTATGTGTTTAATTGTTAGCTGCCTGGGTGGCCCTTAGAAAGGCGGGATATGAATTTTGTTAATAATAATATTTCAAAGTTCTGTGCCCATAGGCAGACCTTCTGATAGCCTTTTTGTCTGTCTGTTTGCACCAGGATCCATGTTCTTCCCTCCAACATCTCTCTTTGGGGCTGGCATGTACTCCGTTGCTGTTTATGGTGGATTGGTACTTTTTAGCATGTTCCTGCTCTATGATACCCAGAAGGTTATAAAGCGTGCAGAGACCCAACCATTGTATGGCATGCAGAAGTATGATCCCATAAATTCGTACGTATTCTCTTTCTCCCAGTAACCCTAACTCTTGAGTTAATAGTATATTGACATACATGCATAGAACAGCTTCAGCAGAACCCCGGTGTCGTGGAGTAGAAGAAAATGATCTTTATGTGTTTCAGAACTTGTATGTTGCTTTTATAGGGGTGCTGACTCCAGGTTGGGAATTCCTGGAGGTTACCGGGGTAGGGCCTGAGAGGGGGGTCAGAGTTTGGGAAGGGGAGGGACCTCAGTGGGGGTACAGTGCCATAGAGTCCGCCCTCCAAAGCAGCCATTTTCTCCTAAGGAACCTATCTCTCTTGTCCGATTGACAGCGGTGATCCTGGGTTATCTCCAGGCCATTCCTGGAGGCTGGCAACCCTAGCTGCATTCTAAGATGATGTTCTGGGATCTAGAGAAGCCCGGGTGCAGTGCCGCATAACCCACAGTGGGGGTTGCCTGTTTTTGCTGCTTTCTAGAGGCAGCCCTCCTGGCCTTAAGGGAATAGTAGTGGGGGGTGGGGAGATATGAGGCTTCTCACATTTGGAGAGCAGCTCCTTGGAAAGTGTGGGGTGATGCCATTGGAAGGGCGGGGCACAGGAGGTGCATGCACAAAAGAGGCCTCCCCACAGCTCTGAGGCTGACAGCTGGTCACCCGTGACAGTTATGACTCATGTAAATATTTGGTATTTTTACTGACATTTGCCCAACGTAAGTTTTGCATTAAGTCCCACTTTGTGCAGAAATGCTCATTGGCAAGCTCCACGACTGGAGAAGCTGAAACTTCTGAAATTAAGTCTGTGGCTGTGGGAGACTTACTTCCATTGCCTCCCCAGCCTCTAGGAATCCACGCACACCTCTTACTGCCATTTCTTCCTTCCAGAAGCCACACCAGTGTAAATATTTGGTATTTTTACTGACATTTTCCCAACGTAAGTTTTGCATTAAGGCCCACTTTGTGCAGAAATGCTCATTGGCACGCTCCACGACCGGAGAAGCTGAAACTTCTGAAATTAAATCTGTGGCCGTGGGAGACTTACTTTTATTGCCTCCCCGGCATCTAGGAATCCACACACCCCTCTTACCGCCATTTCTTCCTTCCAGAAGCCACACCACGTATCCTTGCTACCTGGCTTGCCCTTTCCTTCCAAACAGTATATGCAAATAGATAAGGGGTAGCAGTATGAATAAGCCAAAACAAGTAGAACTACTGCAAATATGCAAATAACAATTGTAATAATAATTCTAGTAAATAACTCCTAAATGTGTACAAAATTACAGAAATACAGTAACAATTTTTGTTTTACAGATGGACGAAAATCTCCGGAGTTGTTTCGTTTCGTAGAGACTTCTTCTCACATCAAAATTCATCAAGACGTATCCTTTCAAAGTCACAAATATTCCAAGTAGATTCTCCGTTCTTCCCAACCATTTGTAGTGTTCATTACAGATGTATAACAGCTAAGGCTGATTAGCTCGAATTTGCACAATTTTGATGTGAGAAGAAGTCTCTACGAAACAAAACATCAACTCCGGAGATTTTCGTCCATCTGTAAAACAAAAATTGTTACTGTATTTCTGTACTTTTGTAATTTTGTACACATTCAGGAGTTATTTACAAGAATTATTATTACAATTGTTATTTGCATATTTGCAGTAGTTCTACTTGTTTTGCCCTTTCCTTCCCCAGAACATACATTATCCATGTTATTAAGACTTTAAATTGTACTGTTGCTGCAGCCACTTCCTCCCTGGGTGTTGGCATACACCTGAAGGAAAGGACCGGCTCTTCTGTGTCATAAGTATACATATCCTTGAGGCTTTGTGGTTTCTGAAGACTTAATAGGATCTGTAGCTCCACCTCCTTGATAGGCTACATTTTCTCAGAGGCAGACAAAAGGGAGGGAAATTCACTGCCTCTCCTCCTGAGATTCAGCTCCTCAGAAGGCACAAACTTGGACAGAAGATCATTTGCTCAAATCCCCAAGGAGTGCAGGGCAGAGCTGGAGAGATCCAACCCTTCCTGATTTATGTGCTTCATTGTGCCCACTGTGTATGCCTAAGACTTCAGGAAGGACACTGACAGAGGCTGGGCGGAACATACCAAGACCTAAGTTTCAATCCGTAATCCTAACTGTGGTTGATAGCCAGTAAAACACAACTTTTGAATTGCAGGCTTCTACGCAGCCACTAACCTGGCTGTCTGTGGTGGTTTCGGGTGCTAGATCAGTGTTCCCTCTAAGCTGAGTTAGCGTGAGCTAGCTCACAGTTTTTTAGTCTCCAGCTCACAGTTTTTTGTCTTAGCTCAGGGAGGATGGCTCCAGAGCAAAATAATTTATGCAGTAGCCAAATTGCTCACTCACAGGTTTAATGCCCGTAGCTCACAAAGTTGAATTTTTGCTCACAAGACTCCACAGCTTAGAGAGAACGTTGGTTGTAACATAACTGTAAATTGACCCTCATTGCTAGAAGAATTCTGTCACTTTATTTTTTGTTTTTATATTTCTTTCACACACAAAAACCCCAGAAAAAAAAGAATAAGAAGGGGGGAAATAACTCAGATTCCAGCAACTAAATTAAAAGGAGGTATATATAAAATAGAAAGGGTGTGTGTGTGTGTGTATATATATATATATAAAGTAGATGCAAAAATACAACAGCAGTGGCAGACCTACCCATAAACTTCTACAAAAGGGTTTCTAAATATCCAAAAGGTCGTCCATATGCACTTGTCGTCTGTATGCTATGATTCGAATACTGATAGAATTCTAACATCCTGAATTCATTGACTTACCGGAGGTCGGCATTTATCTCTGCAGTGTTGTAGTACAAGTCTTTCAGCTGTTGGAAGGTCACTGGGAGTCTATTTTCATTGACCATCAGTTGGCCTCCAAGAGACAGGCAGATAGTTTAAAGGCACACAAGTGTAGTAGAATTCCTCAAACTCTTCATTGCCGCTGTCATCTTTGCTCGAAGACGTGGTCTGGATGCAGAATCCAGTTAAGAGCTGTTGGCTTCAACAATCCGATATATTGCTTTTTCTCACCTCCCAGGTGCATGGGCATTTACATGGACACCCTCAACATCTTCATCAGAGTAGCCACCATCCTCGGCATCAGCGGCGGTGGCAGGAAGAAGTAAATGGTGACTCGACAGGTCATCCGAAGCTTCGGTTTTCTCCGCTTAGTGCATAGCATCGAATAAAAATATCGTGTATGTGCAGGAGCCGTTGTGGAGAAGTCGGATTTCCCAGCATTTCAGCATGATCATTGAGGTGTTTTCACTGTAATGTGACTTGAATCTTAGTTCCCTGGTTCAACTTAAAAATAAATAAGAAGTGGAAACTGGATGGCTGCATTACCACGCAATCACTTCACCGTACAATCACTGCAGCCCGGTTCTGGGATTTTCAATATGGGAAAAGCAGTTTCAGTACGTGTATATTTGTAAGTTGTGTTCCTTCCTTTGGAATAGGGAAAGATCGATGGTGTATAATTTTTGAACAGCAGCCAAAGAGAGTTGCTGTGTTCACACTATCAAGTGTTCCAGTGGCAGATGGATGTGGGCTCGGAAGCTTGTTAATACCGAACAGGTGACTAATTTGTGCTGAAATATGTAAGCAGCGGGCAGATCTACTCCGATGATGGCAGACAAAATGAGTTGGCTTAAAAATTAGGACTTGAAAGGGATAATTGGTGGGATCCTCTTTGCATTTTAGCCGAGAAGTAAGGGGACCGGCAAGCAAGACACTTGGGCACTTTAATAAATGCAGCAAGTCCTTGACAATCCCAGAACCAATACTGAAGTCTTACCAATCTAGGAGTGGTGGAGGTAGGCGCCTAACAGAGGGTGTAGCTGAAATTCGACCATACACAAAGGGCAAAATAAATCCATTTGGGAATTTCAGACCTCATTGTTTTTCTCAAAAGTCAAGCATGACTCAGTCTGTTTTCAGATGTTTTCTGTATACCCAGCTAAGAGGTCTGGGCTTCCTTACCTGGACATCCACAGTTTCTAAAACAAAAGTTGTAATCATAGTTTTATTTGTGAGAAGCACATTTAAGCATTTGCAATATTTTCTAAGCTGAAGAAACTCTGATGTGGGTGAATTCCTCAGATGCATAATGAAAGTGATTCCGGGAAGTTGCTGGGGCACTCTAGTGCTGATCTGTTGTGTGTCGCAGCAGTTCAGCCTCTTTGTTTTTCCTTTCACTTGGCTAACTTAACCATGCTTGTACCAGTTTTAAAAACAATAAAGTCCTAGCCCAGCACTTGGTGGCCATTGTTTTCTCTGTTGTGCCGGATTCCCAGCATGCTGTCTGGGGGCTCGGGGATATCCAACAAGGTGCTTCATGGTGCCTCTCTGACTTCAGCTTTCCACCTCCCCCCCACACACACACCTGCAGCCTCTACCTGGGAAAACTACAGTCTTTCTCCGCAGTGGAGACCCAAGCAGGAGGGAAGCAACCTCAGCAGGGTATAATGACACAGAACTCACCCTGCAAAGCAGCCATTTTCTCCAGGGGAACTGATCTCTAGCATCTGGAGAGCAGTTTTCATTCTCAGTGATCTCCAGCCCTCACCTGGAGAATTTCAGCAATGGTCCCCAGGAGGAAATGGCTGGTTTGGAGAGTGGAGTCTGGCATTGTACCTGTGAGATCCCACCCCTCCTCAAACCCCACCCTCTTCAGGCTCCACTCCTCAAATCTCTAGAATTTCCCAACCTGGAGTTGGCAACCCTGTCTCCTTCTCAGCCAACCATCAACCTACGGTTATCTGCACCTGATCTCTACCTTCTGGAGAGCAGTTTTAAGAGTGATTTCCAGCCCTCACCTGGAGATTGTCAGCAATGGTTCCCTAAGAGGAAAAGTACAGTCTTTCTCCACAGTGGAGACCAAAGCAGCTTACATCATTCTCCTCTCCCCCTTTTGATCTGCACAACAACCCTGTGAGTTAGGTTAGGCTGAAAGTCTGTGACTGGTCCAAAATCACCCTCTCAACTTCTACAGCAAGAACCTTGGTCTAGCAGACCCTTCTCTGAAGCGCTAACTGCTACGCCTAGGGTAGCCAACCTCCAGGTGGCTGAAGATCGCCGGGTATCTTAACTGAACTCCAGAAATCAGGTGCCATCACTCCAGAAAATAGATCTCTTCCCCCCAGAGAAAATAACTGCTTCGGAGGGTGGGCTCTATGGCATTCTATTTTGCTGAGGCCTCTCTGCTCCCCAAACTCTGGCTTCCTTAGACTCCACCACAGAATATCCAGGAATTTCTCAACCTGGAGCTGGCAACCCTAGTCAGGACTGGCCCCAATCAGTTCCCCACAAAGGCCTGGAAAAGGCTTCATTCCTTTGCCTTTTTACTGACAGAACCAAGCTTGGTTGCCTAGCAACAGCCACTGAGAGAAATGTTAGTCCCACAGGAGCCAAGAAGAAGTGTCTTTGTCAGGAGAGAGCTGTTTCGACAGTTAATTCTGTGAGGGAAGCGTCAGGAGAGACCGTTGTTTTGACAGTTAATTCTGTGAGGGAAGCATGTCCAGGCTGGCAGTGGGCAGGGGAGAGGAGCAGACCAGCACCAGTGATGTTAAACATGAAGATTGTTTGCACCTGTCTTTAACTGACCACCAAACTGCCCCTCTGCAAGAGGGGTCTGACTGTCCACAACAGCTGGTGTGTCATTGCAACAGATCTGAGGATGGGGAGAGCAAGCATGTCTGTCTGAAAGTATGCTGGGTGGGAGAGATGTGGACTTTTTCATTTCACTGACCTCTGGGGGGTTTGCATCTTTGTTTCTGTTGGGTTGAGTAGGAACCACAAACTACCACGTGCATCTGGTGGTGGGTTTGAGTCTACAGAAACAGTGTTACAGTAAAGACGTATTAGACTTTATGGAGGTAGGTAGTGTGATAGACTCAAGGTCACCCAGCAAGCTTCCATAGTACAAGCGTGGATTCGAACCCAGGTTTCCCAGATACTAGTCTGATGCTCTTAACCACTTCACCGCACTGGCACCACTCTCGATGGTACTATGCTTTTTTTAAAAAAAATTGCTTTATTTATACATGCAGCACCATCGATGTACATGTGGTTTAACAGTTCCAGAGCCAAAACTTGAATCCATAGCTTTGGATAATAGAGCATTACACTGAAGTCTCTGCTGGCAAGTGCAGACTGGGTGCCTTTTTCTGGGTAGGCTATAAGCTCCTGTGACAGATTGCACTTTTAAAGGTTTAGAAGTGCTGTGTAAACAGATAAAGGACTGAGGGTTAATTCTTCACAGAGCCAGATAGCCTTGAGTGACAGGCTGTTCCAAGAGATCTGGTTGGTTAGCATCAGCTGAGAAGAGAAAGACTTCTGAACTGGATGGTGAGGTCTGATTTCAGCTCTAGCTGAGAAGAGTCAAGTACTGACTGTTTTGGAATTCAGCCTTGACTGAGAGCAGTTTTAACACAGACAGGAGAACTGGGGGAAAGTTGGCTAGGAGGTTTGGGAAGTAGCGAAAGACTCTCATTTAAGCCAAGGAAAAAGGATAGATCTTCTAGAGAAAGAAGAAAATTCCCTACCCAGTTTAACAGGGTGAACAGAGATCCCTGGTCTGCTGTGGTTAGAAACTGCCTTTAGAGACCTTAAAAACTCAAGGCTAGTACTGGTGTCTCAAGAGAAGGGGTCCAGGTAATGGAAAGAGTGTGCCAGCCTTCTGGAAACCATAAAAGTCAGATAATACTCAAAGGAAGTGTACTGAAGTGTTTGGAGAAACGCTGGAACAAAAGCTTCTCAACATATAGATTTAAGTCACTGTGAAAAGCTTAGGAAACTCTCTTTAGCCTGCATCTGACAAAGAGCTGTGTTTCTCTTTAAAAAAAAAAAAATTGTTATGCTTTCTACAACTATTACATGCTACAAACACTACAACACTAAACTAAAACGTAAGCTAGACAACGATCATACAAAATGATTAATCATAAGCTTAATCATTTTGTACTCTAGTTTGGTGTAGTGGTTAAGTGCATGGACTCTAATCTGCGAGAACCGGTTTTGATTCCCCATTCCTCCACTTGCACCTGCTGGATGACCTTGGGCAAGCCATAGTTTTGATAAGAGCTGTTCTTGAAAAAGAGCAGTTTCTGTCAGAGCTCTCTCAGCCCCACCTACCTCACAGGGTGTCTGTTGTGAGGAGGGGAAGGGAAAGGAGTTTGTAAGCCGTTCTGAGACTCCCTTAGGTAGTGAAGGGCGGGGTATAAATCCAATCTCTTCTTCTAATCAAAGTTCCCTCTATAGTAAGGTTAATGGGTGAGGCTATTTTTAAAAGCATCTATTACAAACTGGCATTTGAAGATTTAAATCAAGTAGGTAGCGCTTAAACTATTAAGCTTTCGAAATTATAAAGTTATATTCTTTCTTTTTCTTTCCCCTATGCTTCTTTTTATCAAAGTTCCATTGGACTTTCAGGGCTTTTGGGGCCGCAGCCCCTGTTGCTGAATCAGTGTCCTCTTCTGGAGTACCGCTCGCTGCATTTTCTGAACTTCCCTACCCATATGTGCTGCCTTCTTCTATTACTTGTTCCTCTGTTGTTCTTTTATCATTCGCTGGTATTTGTTGCTGCTCCAAAAACACCTTAGCTTTTAAGACGGAGCCAATCCTTTCTTTCTTATCGTTGTAGTTGAAGATAAGTCCCTCAGGTATTATCCATCTGTAGGGTGTGGAATTTTTCTGCAGAAAAGTAATTATTTTTTTGTATTTTTTCCTCTTCTTATCTCAAATGGTGTATCTTTTAGGACTCTAATTTCTTCATCTTTGATTGTTAGGGTTGTCCCGTTTGTGGCCTTGAGCACCACGTCTCTTGTAGATCTCTGAGAATCTCACCAGTATCTCCCCAGGCAGGGTTTTTTTCTTGATAAATTCTGGATGTGTCTGATAGATCACATCCATATCGCTTTGCAATAAATCCACTGTTAAACCTGTCATTGGGGCCAACACTTCACTTAAGATTTCCTTCAGATTCTCACCCTTCTGTTCATGGACACCTTGAAATCTCAGAACATAAGCTGATTTTTCCATTTGGAATCTTAAAAGCTGATCTTTGTCAAAAGTCCCCTCTTTCTCCAGCACCTCCAGTCTTGGATTGTTTGCTTTTGTCTTGACTTCAACTTTTTCCACCGATTTTGCTGTCTCCTCTGTTTTTATATTAGTCTCTTTCACTTGCTTTTGGAGCGCTTCAAAGTTACTGTTGAGATTAGTCATCTGATCCAACAGCGGGCACAATGCTGTTGCTGTCTTCTCTGTTTTTATATTAGTATCTTTCAGTTGCTTTTGGAGTGCTTCAAAGTTACTGTTGAGATTAGTCATCTGATCCAACAGAGGGCACAATGCTGTAGCTAACATGTTGGGAAAGTCAGTATTTACTTCCGGTTTAGCAGCCGGAAGTGCTGATCTGGCAGTTCCGGGACAGTGCTTCGTTCTCATCGCCATCTTTTCTGCCCGACTAGTCATTGTTTACAGTTCAGGGAAAGTTTTTTAAACTCCACGAAAGTTATTTATAAAGTCACTTTATATAATTCTGTACTTAGCTTGATTAAATCCAAAATCGCCGTGGCTCCAAGACACATAAATTGCTTAAACAGTTCGCTTAAAGTTGGGGGGGTAGCATACTCCCTTGCCCTCCTATCGTTGCAAATCGGGGGTTCGGATGGCCACTTGACCACATGCTCAGTTAATGAAGATTAACACTCACACTTCACTCCATGCCAGCTGCAGAAGTAGGGATAGCTTTGTATATGTGCTTGATCACTTGTTCGCTCGTCCAGAAAACGGGGGGAATTGGGGAGAACTGCGGGTCAGCATGCAGCCGCACAGTGAATAGTGTGAAATTGACGAATGCAAGCAGGGGAAACAGAAGAGCGAGGGCGGCCCAGCTGCTTGTGGGGAATCGGTTGAGAACTAAGGTCTGTACATGTACTGGCTTTACCTTGGAGTTACCTACACTGAGTTACCTCAGAAATTCTCTCTATTAAATAAAACGTTTTGTCAATTTTGAATCTAAAAACGTCTTGAGTGCCATTGAATCAATGCCTACGGCCGTATTGGTTGGCCGTTATAATAGAATACCTAAGGCACAGCGTTTATGTATTTGTGGCTCTCCTGCTATTGAGGATCTCTCCCATTACATTTTTGATTGCCCATTGTATTCCCAACCTAGGTCAAAATTTTTATCTGGTATTTTATTAGTTTTAAGCTTTTATTCAGTCCCAGAGAAGATTATATTTTTGCTAGCCAATGCCGATCAATAGAATGG